TCAAAAAAAAAAAAAAAAAAAAGTACCCTAAATATGAAATTCAAAGCTTAGTAGGATTGGATTTTAATACCTAACATTTACTGAGACCTTCGTCTGTCCTAGGCACTGTGCTGACTACTTAATAGACAGCATTTCAGAATCCTCACAGCTACCCTGTGAGATAAGTGATTTAGTCCTGTTTTGCAAACAAAGAGAGTGAGGGTCAAAGAAGTTATGGCTAATCAGTGGTAGAGCTGAAATCTGAGGCTGCAGTCCATCTGCTTCTGAAGCCCACAATGCAAGCCATTATAATTCCATCATCTTCAAGTGGAACATGGTTGGCTGGGCTACAAGGTAGGGGCCTATGGAAATGCTGGGGAAACCCACACCCCAGAACTGGGACTAATTCCTTCTCCCACTCTCCCAGGCTTACCTGCGAGCCATCGATGTGAAGATCCTGCAGCAGCTGGTGACCTTGAATGAGGGCATCGAGGCGGTGCGCTGGCTGTTAGAGGAGCGGGGGACGTTGACCAGTCATTGCAGCAGCCTCACCAGCAGTCAATATAGCCTGACAGGCGGGAGCCCAGGCCGCTCAAGGAGAGGCAGCTGGGACAGCCTGCCAGACATCAGCACCACCGACCGGCTGGACAGTGTCTCTATTGGCAGCTTCCTGGACACAGTGGACCCCGGCGAGCTGGATGAACAGGGCCCACCTGGGGCTCCACGTCCTGAGATGGACTGGGCAAAGATTATAGCTGGTGGAGAGAGGGCCAGGACTGAGGTGGATGTGACAGCCATGAGGCTAGGGAGCTTGAGGGCTGTGTGGAAGCCCCCAGGGGAGAGGCTTCAAGGTGGACCACCTGAGTCACCAGAGGATGAGAGTGCTAAGCTGGGCTTCGAGGCCCACTGGTTCTGGGAGCAGTGCCAGGATGATGTGACCTTCTTGTAACAACTTTTCCACACTTTTGTAATCCTCTTTTATCTGTTAGTTGTGGTCTCCCTCAAAATTGATTCTTCCTCAGTCTGAGACTAGGAAGAGGCTGCACGGAAATCAGTTACTATGGAAACCTGGCTCATCATTTACTGGTACCTAGGGAGTCTCTTCCTTTATCCCTAAATTATTGGGTCCCTGGAGCTATTTCTTTCTTTCTTTTTTCTTTTTTTTGAGACAGAGTCTTATGCTGTCACTCAAGCTGGAGAGCAGCGGCATGATCACGGCTCACTGTAGCCTTGATCTCCTGGGCTCAAACAATCCTCCCACCTCAGCCTCCCACATAGTTAGGACCATAGGCATGTACCACCCTGCCCGGCTAACTTTAAATTTATTTTTTGGTAGAGACAGGGTTTCCCTATGTTGCCCAGGCTGGTCTCAAACTCCTGGGCTCAAGGGGCTCTCCCACCTCAGCCTCACAAAGTGCTAGGATTGTGCCTGGCCCCTACAGATATTTCTACAGAGATACTGACTCTAGAGGATTGACCTGTGGCTTCTGGTGTGAAGTATCTCTTACTACTCCCCCCAGCTAGGTAAAGATTTAAGGCATTTAAGACCCCCAGGAGTTCACTGATGAAGAGATGGGGGTGTAATTACTTTACCCAAAGTCTAGAAGCCTTGGCCCTCTCTTGGCCAAGATGGAGGATTGAGGAGGGACATGGACATTCAGGACTAACCCTCTATGGGTTGGCCCTCCCAGAAGTCTCTGGGCTGGTGGACTTGCCCCTTCCTACCTGCTAAGTGACGTCATTTCCTGCCAGGATGGGTAGCCCTTGGATGGTGGTAGGTCATATAGGGGTATCTGAGCTCCTGGTGCTAAGTGAGATCACATTATTTATTGTCCATACCATTACTTCTTGTGAACAGGAAGATGTCACTCCTCCTAGCAGGAAAGCTTTTCACTGTCAGATGTTTGTGCTTCTTTTCAAAAGGTTCTTACTTTTTAAATAGAGCATTCTCATTTTATCCTAGGGAATCTCACTTCCTCTGTGGCTCCATCCCTGCATCCCTGTCTGGGCCAGCACTCCTGACTGCTTTTAGGGAGAGAAGCTTTCAGGGGTCTCCACTTATTGCTCTCAAATCCTTTTGGTCCGCCTTGCCACAGTCCCTTGTCTTACCCTGTTCCTGTGTTGCCCCCATTCCTGTATTCTGTTTTTTGTTTTGTTGTTTTTTTGAGACAAGCTCTCCCTCTATTGTCCAGGCTGGAATGCAGTGGTGCTCATTGCAGGCTCAATCTCCTGGACTCAAATGATCCTCCCTCCTCAGCCTCCCGAGGAGCTAAAACTACAGGCATGCATCACCATGCCTAGCTAAGTTTTGTATTTTTTTCCAGAGACAGCATTTTGCCATGTTTGCTAGGGTAGACTTGAACTCCGGGGCTCAAGCTGTCCTTCTGCTTCAGCCTCTCAAAGTGCTGAGATTACAGGCATGAGTCACTGTGTCTGGCCCTATTCCTGTATTCTGACTCCATATCTCCCTGCCAAGAGGTTCAGCTTCTGAGTGTCCTTGTCTTCTCAGTTTCTCCAGGCCTTTTATATGCAGGTGAGTCCTGGCCTCCCCTGCCCTTTGTTGATGGGAGCCAGGGAGAGAGAAGCTCAAGGTCTCAGAGCTCTGGGGGCGTACCAGAATCTTGGATGGGGGAGGTGTCATCCTCTCTGACTTTATGACTGCCCTTCCCCCACCCTGTCCCCAGCCTCCCACCATTTGGTCACAAGGATGCCTGCCTAAGGTCGGGACACAAGGAATCGCCTTGTCTGGGCTACAGTGTGGGGGCGTGGCAGGGAAAGACAGAAGCTCTTTGGTCCCCCTGCCCCATCCTGGAAGGGGAGAGGGAGCAAGGCAAAGGCTTGTTTACTTCCTCCCTTGGAGCAAGCCCTGACGGACTCCTGGAACCTGAGGAGGGAGCAGGGAACTGGCCCTGAGCCTGGGTCCCAGAGCTCTACCGAATTACAAATTACATCATAGAAGGAATTCGGGAAAGCTGCCAACCTGGGGCTCAGAGAGAGGACAGTCCCGGAGTTGGGGGACAAGAGCTGTGGCTGGTGTCAGAGGATGAATTTGTAGAGATTAATCCTTTGAAGTCTGGGTAACTGCTCCATCTGTTAGTCCCTGGCTTTCCTGGGCCTTGAAACTGGAATGCTAGAGGAAAAAGAAGGTCAGATGACTTTAGCTGTTCACTGTGTCCTCCTGCAAAAGAGGCGTCCTCCTCAAATCCTGGAATAACTCCTGCCACTTCTCTGTTTTGTATTCTGTGCTGGGGAAGGGAAGGAAGCCAAACTGATCATCTCTGTTTCCCTAAATTCCACAAGTCTCATTTTCAAACTCCTACCCCAGTCCTTCTGGAGCAATATTCAGTCCATTGCTTGTCCCTAAACACCCTCTCTTCTCTCACCCCCTCAAATGACTGAAATCTCCAAAATATATTCTCGGCCTCTTCCACAGCTCACAAGACCTGTCCATAGCACTCCTATGGTCTTGGGACTCTGACTTCCCCTCAGACTGGGAATTTGAATCTCCTATTCTAGTCCCTACTCTGTTGCCATTTTGCAGTGTGCCCTTGGTTATCTACTCTTCCTGCTTTTTGTTTTTGTTTTTTGAGATGGAGTCTTGCTCTGTCATCCAAGCTGGAGTGCAGTGACATGATCTCGGCTCACTGCAACCTCTGCCTTCCGGGTTCAAGCGATTCTCCTGCCTCAGCCTCCCAAGTGGCTGGGATTACAGATGTGCACCACCACCACGGCCAGCTAATTTTTGTATTTTTAGTAAAGACAGGGTTTCAACATGTTGACCAGGCTGGTCTTGAACTCCTGACCTCAAGTACCACCCGTCTCAGCCTTCCAAAGTGCTGGGATTACAGATGTGAGCCACTGTGCCCAGTCTGTTGTTTTTTTAAGACAAGGTCTCTGTTGCCCAGGCTGGAGTGCAGTGGTGCAGTCTCGGCTCACTGCAGCCACTGCCCCCTGGGCTGAAGCGATCCTCCTCAGCCTCCTAAGTAGCTGCGACTACAGGCACATGTCACCATGCCCGGGTTACTTTTTGTATTTTTTCTAGACAGGGTTTTGTCATGTTGCCCAGGCTGGTCTCGAACTCCTGGGCTCAAACAATCCTCCCACTTCAGCGTCCCAAAGTGCTTGGATTACAGGCCTGAGCCACCATGCCTGGCCTTTCTTTTTTTCTCTCTCTCTTCAGCAACATTGTTCATGGAGTCATACCCTTCTTGGAAGCCATCGTACAGTATTCCTATTTGAGGTTCACTTGTTCAGGCTATAGACTTATGAGCTGAAGAGGTTGCCCGCCCTCTTGTGGCCATTATGTACCACTGCTGGAGTTGCTGGGCGGAACCTCCAAGCTCAAATAAAACCAGCCCCCTCAGTGCGCAGAAAGGCTAATGAGTCATAGATTCGTCCAGCGTCACCCATGGTAAAACCGTGGCAACGCCCAGGTCAGAGAACCCAGATCACAAGCCTGCATGCCCACAGCTTCATCACTTGGCCAGCTATTCCCAGTCAACACCACTGAAGCCCAAAGGGACCGAAAGCAATTTCGCCGGTTATAATGTTTGCATTCTCATCCCTCCCTAAAGAGGCAGCTTAATCTTTAGAGGAAGAGGTGCAGGCTCTGAGGAAAGAAAACCCTGGGACTGGACTGGGTGAAGGGGTGAAGGATGCACTAGTATGGATCACAGATAGGAGGAAAAATCAATCCTGGACCCAGCATTTTTCTGGGAAGGAGGGCTAGTAGCTCCAGACATCGTAGAAACAGAGCTCAGCGTTTCAGACTCGAAGGGGTTAGAAGCAGAGGTGGGAATGGGAAGCTGTGAAATTAGGAAATTTACATGGGTCTTGCAGAAGCAGGTGTGGCTCCACAGGCCAGGGAATTAAAGGTCAATTGGATAGGTACCTGACAGTGTTGTGGGCTGGAAAGCTGGGGTAAGTGAGGGTGCCTGGGTATTCCACTTAGGTCTAGGCATCCTGGCTGAATACTTTAGATTTCGGTTCACCACCAGAGAATCCTGGGAACTCCAGTAAACACGTATCTTTGGTCTCTTCTACCTGCCTCTAGATTGGCTGGTTGAGGCTCAGCTTCTCTCTAACTAGACTTTTCTGGCTTATAGGGTGCAGCTCTTTGAGAGCTCAAAGAAAGAGAAGGCAAGAAAAGGGAGAGAAATGCAGAGAGAGGAGAGTATGAGATGAAAACAGGGTGTGGAAAATATCAGAGGGAGTATACTGCCCTCAAGTGCACTGGTGGCTTTTGTCCGGGACCAGAGTAAAGACAAAAATGAGACTGCTCATGGAAGCTACAGAAACAGCGCCTGGGGGGATAAGGGGGGTGGTGCAGGCTGGGACACTAGACTATGGAAGTGGGCAATGTAAAGGCCTGCATTTATTTATTAATTTGAGACTCACAGCAGAGTGAGGGTCTCACTCTGTTGCCTGGACTGGAGCACAGTGGCACGATCTTGGCTCACAGCAACACGATCTTGGCTCACAGCAACCTCCACCCTCCAGGCTAAATTTACTTTTTAGCAATCCTATAAACAGTGCATTGTTAACAATATAGTCTTGCTTAGAAATTTGCTCAAGGATAGTTCAGTAACAAATGAGCTGTGATAACCTAGATCAACCTGACTGCAGGGGCTTCCAGGAAGTCTTCTCTGATTCCCTACCCAGGCCCTACACTCACATAGACTTTATTCTTCTAGGAGAACAGATTCGTGCTGCCCAGAAGCTGGGGCACTACATTAGTTTCCTATTGTCACTGTAATGATTTACCACAAAGTGGCTTAAAAATAAAATTATTATGTTACAGTTCAGAAGTCCAAAATCAGTTTCACCAGGCTAAAGTCAAAGCATTGACAGGTCTACATTCCTTCTGGGGGCTCCAGGGGAGAAAGTTTCCTCACTTTTTCTAGCTTCTAGGCGCTGCTTGCAGTGCTTGATTTGTGGCTGTTTTCACCATCTTCAAAGCCAGCAGCAGACCATCTTCTCTCCTCTCTAACCTCTGTTTCCATCCCTACATCTTTCTAATTCTTCTGCCTCCCACTTGTAAGGATTACATTGGGCCTGCTGGGATAATCCAGTATCATCTTCCCATGACAAGATCCTTAATTAAATCATGCCTTCAAAGTCCGTCTTACCATTTAAAATAAAATGTTCACAGGTTAAGCAGGTGGTGGTGCATCCCCACAGTCCCAGCTACTCGGGGGGCGGAGGCTGGAGGATCACTTGAGCCCAGGAGTTCAAGGCCAGCCTGGGCAACATAGTGAGACCCCTTCTCTTAAAAAAAAGTTATATATATCCACAGGTCCTGGGGATTAGGAATTGGACATCTATGGTAGAGGGGCTGTTATTTAGCCTGACACAGGCAGGGTGGGAAGTGGCAGGAGGATGCACCCAGGCCCAGAATGGAACCTCTGTGCTTTGTCCAGCCTTTCCTGGAGTGAGAGGTGGTGCCAAGGCAAAGGTGGCAGGTCCAGACCCCATGTCAAGAGAAGGGCAAGTGCCTCCTGAACCATTACCACCAGGGAGAGCCAAAGGTAAAGATCAGGCTTGAGACAAAGTCTCAGTTTAGGAATCTTTAAAAAGACCTGAGACCTTCCTGGTAACCATGGTGGAGAATTCCTCAACTGTCTCCTCTCCAGAACCATTCTTTGCTCCTATTCCCCAAGGGTGAAGATAATTATATTCCCAGTGAACTAACCTGGGTTCTCTCTGGAAAGGTCAGATTAGACAGTTTATTGTCTTCTTTTAAAATTATTTTTAATTCTTTAATAGTTAAACCATGATTTTTATAGCATAATGAATTCTATCATCAGGCTCCTTATTTTATTTAGAAGAAAATTTTGAAAGAATTTTTTTTATTTTTTAGGCTGGGCACAGTGGCTCATTCATGCAATCCCAGCATTTTGGGAGGCGAAGGCAGGTGAATCACAAGGTCAGGAGTTCAAGACAGCCTGACCAATATGGTGAAA